GAAGTTTACTGGGATCATTCCCATGAGTTAGAGAAAAAAGAAAAAGAATTAATGTTATAATTTGGGACGGGCTACAGAAGGGGCCATGGGTGAAACTCACAGATACAAATGTACAGCACTGGGAGTTGTTAGCATGAGAATCGGAGCCAGGGGAACAGGCCTTGTAGACCAGATTGCACTTGCCAGTTGCTGACCACATGGCAGTGAACGTAGCATGTGCTGTGCCATTTGGTGTCTTGCTTCTTGCAAACAAGAGGCCAATCCGTGCGTAAGTGGGAGTGTTGAGGGAGCAGAATGCTGTTGGAAGGAGGTAAGAGTGTATTAATAAGTATCCATAACTTTCCCTGTCCACTCACAGCAGAAAAAAAGTAACTGGTGTGGGAGAACAGGTGGATGAGAAAGGCTGATTACCTTCACACCATTTAGACAACCTGAATGACTGCTGTATGCCTTCCAGCCCTGAGGATGTGAACATGAACAACACAGACCCTGATCTTGGGGGATGGGAGTGACGTTGGGGGTCGCGGGGAGATGGATGAGTGACACCTGATCAATAAGTCGATGTCTGAGGGCCATGCTAGAAGCCAGTGCAAGCCTGGGAGGGGTGGCGGACATAGGAAGTACTGGCCAATTCCAACAGAGGAGATAGTACCCTGACCTTAGGCTTTACTATACTCGGGAGAGGAAAAAGGACATTTTAGGCAGAGAGAAGAGTTAATGCAAAGGCATGGAGGTGTTATAACATTTGAATCTTGTATTTGAATTCTCAATCAGGGACTCTTTGGCTTTTCATTAGACTTTTGTTAAATATTTCCCTTCTTAAGCATGCATTTGATTTCGATTATTCAGAATTTCATTCACTAGTGAGGAACATTCTAGGAGACCCAATACAGATATAAGGCACTGTAGTTGATCACAACTCTCCAGAAGCAGTGGAGCCTCAGAGAGAGATGACTTACTAGAAAGCTTATTTTTCGCTCCACCTATTAATACTCATTTCACTTAAACCTGCTTAGTATGAACAGATAAAATTATCTCTGCCATTTATATCTCTCTCATTTCTGTTTCCAGAGATTTGATCTTTCCTTTGGCTGGGTCCTTCCTCACCTTGTGAAGGGACCACCTACCTGCTTTTCTACCTCATGAGCCTCCTGGATACCAGGGTCGTCTTCAGTCATTCCATTTTGAGCTTAACAGAAGTGGAGCTCCTGAGTTCAGATTTGTTAAGGGGTTAGAATGTTTATTTAAGGAGTAAACTTTTGGGGATATTTTGAACTAGATGCTGGTAGCAACCTTTGAGAAACTGCTGTCCCTAAAATCACAGATGGAATAAGAGCCATTTTTAAAAATCCCACCTATCACTTTGACACAGTACCTATATAGGAGATATACTTGCATCTGAATCAACTGCTGTCCCTAAAATCACAGATGGAATAAGAGCCATTTTAAAAAATCCCACCTATCACTTTGACACAGTACCTATATAGGAGATATACTTGCATCTGAATCACCCTACAAATGGGGAGGGGAGGGGAATGTCCTAGGTTAAAGGTTAAGAACAAGTTATGTAAGAAAGCTAGTAAGGAGGGCCCTCTAAAGCTTTCTCCAGGGGAGTCTAATGAGAAGAGCTCAGCTGCTTCTTTACAGGTGCCAAAGTCATAACAATTTATAAGATTGGTAAGGTGGCACCAAATCCACAGAGACCCAGGGCAATAAACAGAGCACCGAAAAGTAAAGGGAAGGCCTTTGTGCACTCAAAGCCCTCCCGCTGTCTCTAGCTCCAAAATGCCTCACCTGGTCTCAGGTCACTTTTGGTGGGTCCACCCTCCAGACAGGGGGAGGCACATTAGCTGCTTCTGGCCTGCTAGTGCAGCACATTACTTACTTTTTCTTTTTATTCCATCAGTTTCCAGAGTGTTTCCCATCATTTGAAGAAACTACTTTTAGCTGAAGACATGTGCATACTGAAAGGTGGAGATAATTTTTTTTACACGCCATCTGCTAATTTAGGAAGCCCAAATAACTTAAAAATAGTTCTTAGTCGCCATTAATCAAGTACTGAGACTGTACCAGGGGTCCAGTAAACTTCAGCCCACAGGCCCATGGCCTGTTTTTGTAAATAGCTTTATTGGAACACAGCCATGATAATTTGTTTACATATTGTCCATTGGGAGCTACAATAGCAGAACTGAGTAGTTGTAAACAGAGAATGTATGGCCTCCAAAGTCTAAAATACTTACTTTCTAGCTCTTCAGAGAAAAAAAGTTTGCTAGCTTCTGGACTAAACCAAAATACCCCAATTTAAGAAAGGTTGAAAAAAAAACGTACTGGACTGTCTTCAAGAAAACAAGTCACCCGAGGAAGACATTATGAGCAGCTTTCCATTTGTTATACTTTTAAAAATATCTTATGTTCCCCATACCACAGTCAGGCCACACCACATATAAAGGGTTACAAATATTCAGATTTTATTATAAATAAAATACTGGTTTTTTTAAACATAAAAAATGCCAAGTGTTGCTTTTTATTAACCACCCTGGAGAGCAAGACTGTAGAGGTTAAGGCAAACAGCTAAAGTGAAGGCACATACAAAGGGCCACAGCTAGAATTAAAAGGAAAAATTCCAGGGAAAAATAGCAGTACACATTCCCTGTAACACCCAGCATTCTGCAGCAGCCATCCTGTCAATTTTATTACATAAAGTACAGGTAACTAGAACTATACAAGAAAATAATGGCTATATTGCAAGAGTGTAATTAAGGTATCATCTTGTAAAGAACTTTTAAAAATAAAATTCTGTTTAAAATATACCACACAGATGGAGGAGAAAAGCAAAAAAAAAAAAACAAAGAAAAAAACCAAAACACCCCACTGTAGCCTAAGACTTGCTGAAGTGAACTTGACCCAAACTACCTTGGCAGTCTATCTTTAGTCCTTTTCCTGCAACCATGACCAAAATGCATGTTAGGGTGTGGCCACTTAATAGGAGGAACTAGCCAGCAGACAATAATGTGAAAACTGGGCAAGAAAGAGCCAAACCTCCTGTGACAGAAGAGGCCTGAGAGAAGCCACAGAGTGAAAACCCAGAGGTGTGCCAAGTGAGAACATCTGCGGTAACTCCGGTGGCCCCGACGAGATGGACATGGGAAGTGGGGTCATCAAGAACTAAGACAGACCACCTCTCCCAGCCTGCCCACCAGCAGCACTGGTCCTGATACCCTGAAAGTGCTCAGTAATAACGCACCCCCTTATGAAATTGACCCATCCAGCTCAAACAATTGCCAGAAAGGGCATTTCTAGCTCATTTCTGGAGAGACCTATGGTGGTATTGAAGATCCACCCTCAGCCAACTTCCCTAATCCCACCATACCCTGTCAACCTGGCACTCTGGCTTTGGAAGATGCAGGAAGAACAATATCGTGCTGCAGTTTAGGATCATCAGGACTGTAATGGAAGAGGGTCCATGTTGGCTCTTTATAGTGGCTGAGTATGGAGGACAGCAGGTTGATGTTCATGTTAGAGAATGGAGATGCTGCAAACACAAGGCAGAGGGCAAAGTAATGGGGAGCAAATACAATCCGAAGAGTTCTAGATGGGAGGGAAGGATGTGTACAGAAACATCGTGCCAGTAAGAAGAAAAATGAAGAAAAATGAAGCCAAGAAGTGAACAGTGCCACTCTAGAAATAGGTCCAAGTATATTTACATAAATTCCTTACTCTATAATCATGATAAACAAAACAAAAACATTCACACAAAAATATAAATTTGAAATAATTAATAGCACCAGTGTGTCAGATAATAGTTTCTTTCCCCCGCTACGCAAAATACAAAGTTGCATAGTGTTAAAGGCTATACGTGAATCTCAAAGGCAGGTTGGTAGGAGGAAGAGAGTATGTGGCAGGGAACTGTCATACTGTGGTCTTAAAAGAAAACCACAGAGCTGAGGATCAAAAGTTGAGAAGCCCACTAGGAAACTCCACATAAGGGTCTTCCCTCTACACTCAGAGGGAAGGCGTAGAGTGGGTTTAAATCACAAAGTGCAGGAATGAGTTGGTGTTGGCAGCTGTGTGAAATGCTAGTGCAAGTATTTGCCACCAGGATTTGGCAAACAACCATGTGTTTTGAGGGATTCTATGACAATATGAGAAGAACACTGGAGCTAAGTATCAAATGTTTCATCACTCTCCAATAGAAGAAAAAATGGATATATGGGATCCTGACAATGTAAGTTGCATCTAAGTTTTATCCCCCTGCTAGGAAAGACTAGGACAAGGAGAACTGTTCCTTTGTTCTGTTTGACAAGATCTTAGGAAACAATTGTTCTCTGCCAGATAACTTAACACTAGTTCAAGACTAACATACTACAAAAGCTATAAGTAATTAGTTTGATTTTGAAAAAAGCTTTAGTGGTTATTGTATCCCTATTTCTTCTGTATAAGTTCCATTTATAAGAACATCAAAAGATGTCTAATGGTCTATTGGTGAGTGCAAGCCGCCCATCCAGATATAAATTATCAGCTGCCCAAAGATCTGAAAAAAAAGTTTATCTTCCTAGTCAATTATTAACATATGAGAAAATCTTCAGTCTACTTCAGCCATGTTCTCCTGAAGACTTTCATAAATAATTGCATCCTTACCCGTGGATGGCTCAGTGTCCTATACTCAAAATAGCTAAAATGACTGATGGATGGCTACTGACATTCTAAATGACCAATACCTTTGGCACAGGATGTTTATTTCCTTTTGCTTAAAGGGAGGAGGGGCAGGAGATGCAGATGCATTTTCTTTATCCATGCACTGGATATACTGGCCATCACATTGCCAAACTTTTCCTTCATAGAAACAAGAGTACTGAGACTGAGGAGCTCTGCTGGTGTCCGTGAGAGGGGGAGGGCTACTTGCTCGCCCTGGCATACAAGGGTTCACACGATGGGGTTATGCCGCTGCCCGGTAACACAGGATGCTGCGTCCTCACACAAATCAGAAGGGAGAGTGTGGGTAAGGTAGCAACGTGAGTGGAAGAGAGACTTTATTAGATAAAACCTTGTGTTTCTGATTCAGGATGTTTAATTTGCTTCTCTTTAAACTTTGTGACTTTTCCTGGTTCAAAAGGACAGTGATGGAAAGCGGCATAGAAGTGGGGGGTCTGAAAAATGTAATCTTTGTGTCAAGGCACTCTGTGGCCTCACAACTGCTCCCCTGTCACAGGGGTGCTGCCTTCCATCCCTAAAGATGCTAGGGCTTTTCAATGGACGGGGTGTTGAAGCAGCCAGATGGTAAGGTCTTCCTGATGTCCTCCAGATTGTGAATGTCCTTTATGATCTCGTCAATGTCTCGGTTATAGTCCATGATGGCAGCCTCCTGCTTCTTGGCTTCGTTCTCCAGGTCTGACACTTTCCTATCAAGATCGCTGACCTTCATTTCATCTTTGGCTTTGTTCAGGCTGCCTTCGATCTCATTTAGCTTGTTTAGGTCCACCGTGTCCAGCTGCCCTGTAGAGTCAGAAAGTACATGGAAGAGAACAGATGCATTCAGTAAGAATTATAACAACACTCCACAAGTACCTCTGTTAGACTTTTTATAAACTAAGCTCAGCAGCTGCCACTGTGCAAAGGCAGCCCTGCAAATGTGATTTGCAGGTTGTTGATGTGGTATAAGGGCATAAACAATGCAAACCAAGTACAAATGCTGTCCTAACCCAACAGGGATGGATTGGAGCACATAATTAATATTGGGCTGAATGTTTTTCTCTGAGAAAATGGTTTTTGCAGAATGTTTTCTAAATTCACAGCTACCATGCTCTAGACCTTTAGCTTCACTTGTGGTTTTGAAGGTTATCTGGTAACATTTAATACCTTTTTCAGGTTTACATATGTAATGTGCATGTCATTTTAGTGCCATCCAAACACCATAAAAATCACTAAGAACCCTAAGCCCTTAGATTCCAGGGAAGATGGGTTGGTTTGGGGGGTCACTTCCTGTTTTCAGGAATTAGATACTATTAGAAGTCTTCCCATAAAAGACAATCAAGGTTGAAATGCTAAAATAATTTCAGCAAAGCTTCACTTTAAACTTAGCAAGAAAAAGAAATTCTTTTGAAAGAAATCATCTCCATAATAAACAAAAGCAGATACAATGAACAGTACTTTATACATACTCTGCTTGATTAAATTCTCACAAGACCATCTTACCTCAGTGACTCTCAGAAGTTAAATAATTTGCACAAGTTTGCACAGCCTAAATGTAACAACACAAGAATTCTAACCCAAACCTGATTAAAGTTCAGCTCTTTCTTCCACAAAAAGCTATCTCTTCTATCTTCTTTTCATTTTAAATTCATCTGCTGGCACATGATTTATCATTCCTGACATTTGGGACAGATAAAAAATACCCCCCATCTGTCCCCCTCCCTCCCCCAAAAACACAAAACATACCAATCTTTGAAGGCTAGCAAATTAAAATATAATGCCTTGTTACAAAGAGTTCTGGCTAGAGTCCAGAATCCTTATAATGGAGTCTGGTGATAAAGGTACATCTATCCTAAAATGAAGTTTCCCTATCAAACTGGATTAAAAGATGGTTTCAGTATGGCATATTTTCTTGAAAAAAAAAAAAAAAAAAAGTCGAGGTTTTTTCTCTCTTTTGGCATAAAAGCTTTCCCCTCATCAGACTTTCCTTTAGTTAGTGCTATGGTTTAAATGTGTCCTTCAAAGTTCATATGTTGGACAAACTTAATCCATCATGCAACAGTTTTGAGAGGTGGAACCTTTAAGAAGTGATTATGGCTTGAGAGCACATGAATGGATTAATACCATTGTCACGGGAGTGAGTATCTAATAAAAGGATGAATTTGACCTCCCTTTTCTTCTCTCTCTCCAGTGCACTTTCTTACTATGTGACACCTTCCACCATGTTATAACGCAGCAAGAAGTCTCTCATCAGATGCAGCCCCTCAATCCTGGACTTCCTGGCCTCTGGAACCATGAGCCAAATGAACTTCTACTGTTTATAAATTACCCAGTGTGTGGTATTCTGTTATAACAACACAAAATGGACCAAGACAGAAAACTGGTAGTGAGAAGTGGAGTGGATGCTGTAACAAATACCTGAAAATGTGGAAGTGACTTTGCAATTGGGTAGAGGCAGGAAGAATTTGGAGGAGCAGGCTAGAAAAAAGACTAGATTTCTGAGAATGGAGTGTTAAGGGCAATTCTGGTGAGGGCTCAGAAGAACAGCTAAATCTTCTCAGATATTATTTAAGTGGTTGTGATCAGAATGTTAGTAGAAATATGAACATTAAAGTCCATTATGATTAGGTCTCACATGGCAATGAGGAATAGGTATTGGAAACTAGAGTAAAGGCCATCCTTGTTACACAGTTGCAAAGAATTTGGAAGAATTGTGTCTGTGTCCTAGGGCTTTGTGGAAGGCTGAACTTAAGAGTGATGAACTAGGATCTGGCAGGAGAAAGATGTAAGCAACAAAGCACTGAAGGTACTACATGGCTTCTTTTGGCCACTTACAATAAAATTAAAGACGACAAATTATTTAAAGATAGAATTTATAATTAAAAGCAAAGTAGAATGGAAAGATTTGAAAAACTCTCAGCTTGGCCTTGTAAAGAATAAAAAAAATGATGAGGAGAGAATAATAATGGTGTAGACAAGTGACCATTTGCTAAAGAGGTTAATATGGCTAGAAGGAAGCCAGGATCTATACATCAAGACAATGGGAGAATGACCCCAAAGCCATTTCAGAGGTCTTCAAGGCAAGCTAGGACCCCGAGAGCAAGATTTCTAAAGAGGTGCTTGTGGGATCTCAGCATTTGCTGCCCTGTGCCATTTCAGAACTCTGCTCCCCAAATTCCACTACAGTAATCCTTGGTGGTCTCAGCCAAGGCTCAAGAGGCTCCAAGTGCAGCTCAGGCCACCACTCCAGAGGGTGCAAGTGGTGAGCCTTAGTGGTGTCCACATGGTGCTAATTCTGCAGGTGCACAGAGTTCACAAGCTTTGAGGCCATGATGGCTTCCAACTAGATTTCAAGGGATGTCACAGACAGTGTGGAGACCCAGGCAAGACTTGTCACAAGGTGGAATCACCACAGAAAACCCCCATTAGGGCAATGCCCAGTGGAGCTGTAGAAGTGAGGCCTCAGAGAGTCCCCACTAAGGCAATGCCCAATGTAGCTACAGGTGTAGGGCAGCACCTGAGACCACAGAACTGTAGGGCCACCAGCGTGCAACTCCAGCCTGGGAAAGCTGCAGGCACAAGATGCCAACCTGTGAAACTACTGGGTGGACTAAGCCCAGCAAAACCACAGGGATGGGGCTGCCTGAGGCATTGGGGGCCTAAACCCCACACTGGTGTGCCCAGGATGCAGGATATGGAATCAAAGAAGATTATGTATGGAGGTTTAAGATTTAATGTTGTTTTCCCTGTTGAATTTTAGACTTACTTGGACCAATTACCCATTTTCTTACCTATTTCTCCCTCTTGGAATGGGAATTATCTATCCTACGACTGCCCCTAAAAGTAAATAACTTGTTTGGATTTCATACGCTTATAGCTGGAGAGAATTTGCCTTAGAATGAACCCTGCTTTGAGTCTCACCCATATTTGATTTAGATGAGACTATGGACTTTGGACTTTTGAGTTGGTGCTGGAAAGAATTAAGACTTTAGAACTATTGGGATAGAATGAATGTATTTTGCATGTGAGAAGAACAGAAATTTTGGGGATCTAGAATGCTATAGTTTGAATGTGTCCCCCAAAGTTCATATGTTGGAAATTTAATCTCTAATGCAACAGTATTGAGAGGTGGGACCTTTAAGAGGTGATTACATCATGAGGGCTCTCATGATTAATGCCATTATCACAGGAGCAAGTTAATTACTGTAAGAGTGGCTTTCTGAAAAAAAGATGAGTTTGACCCCCTTCCTCTCTCTTTCTCTCATGCACACTCTCTTGCCATGTGATGCATTCCACCGTGGTATGACACAGCAAGAAGGCCCTCATCAGATGAAGTCCCTTTATCCGGCACTTCTCAGCCTCCAGAACTGTGAGTCAAATAAACTTCTATTGTTCATAAATCACCCAGTCTGTGATACTCTGTTTTAGCAACATAAAACAGACTAAGATGTTAGCAAATGATGAAAATTCTGGGCAATGAAGTCATGACCGATTTAAAGTGTTCTTTCATTCTGCTATTGAAATCCTTCACTTTAAATCACTTAAAGACATCCTCTGCCAGCAGGATGAGCTAAGTAAAAATCAGTGTTCAATTGTACCACAAACTTAAACCATAAATGAGCCACACAAGCTGGCAGCATATCTTCAAAGTATAAAAAGAAAGTCCTCAGATATGGTGTTCTAATTAGGGCAGGGTCCACAGAATGCACCTAGTAAGTACTTGTCAAAATAATAATACCTAAAGTCATGATTTAGTGTGCACTCTGAAGTGGATGAATCAATCAGTATTGTAATAAAGCAAGTTGCTCTGAAAGGCTCCACCATGCAAGACACATACTTATTTTACAAGGCATTTTTAAATAAGAGCTAAAAGAAATATTAATAACGTAATGGATGAACCTATATTATTTGCTTTTGAGTCAACTATATCAGATCCCAAGAACAGCACAAAGGATTCAGAGACGGACTAAAATGACTCTATTGCTACTTACCCAGCTGCTCCAAGAGGTCATTAATAATACTGAGGAGGCTAGTGACGGAGTTTTTGGCTTTTCTGGCATTGATCTCAGCTTCCTGAGCAGCCTGGGAAGCCTGCAGGGGACAAAGGATAAATGATATGAATAGTCCTGACTACATGTTTTCATCTTCTAAAAATATTTTTTCCCATAAGCCAACAAATCTAATTTTCAGATACTTTCCCCTTTTCTGATTCATGAAATTATAATCTCTCGCTTCAGGTTTTTGTTTTTTTAGGGGGTCATATCTTCATGTTGAGGATGTTGCTATTTCCATTTCATATAACAGTCATAAATAGGTCATCAGTATGCTTATGCTTACTATATTTGTATTTCAAAAATCTATATTATCTTTTTCTTACTTTCTCACTCAAGAGTACATGGAGGTATATTCATAATAAAATCCATAAAGCAGAAACAAGTTATTTTTTAACAATGAGTATAGAAACTACATCTGAGAACCAAAACATTTCCTTCAGGACATTATTAGCGACTTGATTATTAGAAATGTCTTATTCTTAGAAAATTTTCATAATCAAGTGAAGCTCTTTTATAAACTCCCCCTCCCCCTGTAATTATCCCCTCTCCTCCGACCCCAAATACATACACACACTCATTTATTGGGGCAATACAATTTACACTTTAAAAATCTACTGAAGGGGCCGGCCCGGTGGCGCACTGGAGAGTGCGCCGCTTGGGAGTGCGGTGGCGCTCCCGCCGAGGGTTCAGATCCCATGTGGTGACCGGTTCCCGCTCACTGGCTGAGCGCGGTACGGGTGCGACACCGAGGGTTGCGATCCCGTTACCGGTCAGTAAAAAAGACAAAAAGGAATAAAAAAAAAAAAGAAAGAAATCATTTCAGTGCCTTGATCTTTCCAGATTCAGATCTAAGATGTATGACCTTTGTCTCTCCCAAGAACCCACACATCAAGACAAAAGTTTCTTCTCTCTGTGCGGGTCACTTCTGTGGCCCATATAGGGTCCTTCCTCAATCTGCTTCTCGTCTCTGGCATCAGGAAAGTCTGGCCCAGTCTAGATTTATTAATATCTTAGTATAACAGCATGCAGTATTACTTGCTATGGCATTGACGGTACATTTTTGCTCCTCAGGGGGAAGGTAATTAATAGCTATTATGTGTGTTAATGGACATACTATGCATGAGTCACAGGAAAAGGCAATGGAATAGGAAGTGTCTAAGTATCAAAAAACAGATGCTCACACAAATAAATCTAGTCAGGATAAAAATGAGTGGCTGTGAGTTCTCCACCACATCACTGCTTTTCCTAGTTTTTGGGTTAAGACAATACAAAAATCTGGGGATCAAAGCAATGTGAAAATTTTAAAAAGAAAAAGCAAGGCAAAAATCTCTGACAAATAAATGACTGATCTCTGTTCAAATCACAGCTGTTCTCACTGAGCCTTCATAGTCTCTTCTTTGAGCATGCTGAGAGAAGAGACGGGACTTTGCTATGGCCTGCCAAGAGCAAATCCTACTGCATTTAACCTGTGCCTCCAGTATCCTTTTCCAGGAGCAGCCATAAGCCTTCACTCTTTTGGTTTAAAAAAAAAAAAAAACATTACAGACTAAAACAATACTGGTTGAATGCTGATCTTTCAGAATTGATATAAATACAAATGGGATGGTTTACGTCAGGGTTGGTTTGTGTTTCTTAAAAGTTATTTACCCAAAATAACAAAAGATGGATCTTGTTTCTATCCTTTGAACTAAATCCATACCTTTTTTTGAAGCTCATAAAGAATATAACCTTTTCTTTCTTTCAAAAGGCTCTAATCTAATGTTTCTAAAATGAAACATTAAATGAAACATAAAATGAAACATTAAAAAGGAAATCCACAGATTCTGAGCACATATAAGAAATACCTATTTTTACTGTATGGGAATTTCCCCTTGAGCCACACCATGCCACAGAAAATGAGGATACTTCAAAACAAAACAACAGAAAAAATAAACAAAAAAAGCAAAATAAAATCAGGTATTTACACAGGGATGCTTCCTATTATCAATTCTCTAGAGTCTTCTTTACTGAGATTAACAGGCCTCGTATTTCTGTCTATCCCAAGGTAAAAATGACCCACAGGGAGGGCCATTTTAGCAGCAATTAAAGAGAGGGCCCCTTCCTTGCACTGACGGCGCACATGCAAACAAGTTTACATATGTCATTACTTGATTGTTACACTGAACTGGAAAGGAATATTCCCATTATGACCCTATTAAAGTCTTTCCAAAGCAAAATACAGCATAGAACAGCAAAATGGACCTTAGTTCTTTCTTGGACCATGCATTCGTGAGTCAATTTTGCTATAAATGGTTTATGTATACACATCATCGCAAAACAGGAAAAATTAAACTGGATGTAAGTTAGGTATGTTTTGGTGGGGTGGTGGAGAATGCCTTCTTCAAAAATTTCTTACATACAAAAAAACTGGTCTTTGCCTCTAGGGTGCAAGTTGCTGGGAGAACAAGAATAGGAAATAAGTTAACTTTCCACTGCATTCCCTTTCATTCCTTTTTGTTTTTATACTAGTTATAAATTACCCATTCAAAAATATATGTACATACTTATCGATATTCTAAAACATTAAATGTGCAAAACAATGTTTTGCTTTTAACTGAGAATAGCTTTGGGATAGTATAATTGTGCAACAGACATACCTGGCAAAAGATACAAATTCTTTGTCTTCTATGTAAGCTACTAACCCAATTTCTGACTAGAAAATGCAATGAAAAACAGAAATCAATATAAAAAAGACTCTTCTCCGCAGGTTGGGGATCATTATTATTAAACATCCTTCGCTTTCTGCCATGAGAAAATATGCCAAAACCTCTTACCATCCCTGCCATCATCATATCCTGCTCAGCATCATCCTGTTTTTTCTTCAGCTCTTTCTCTGCCTCCTGTAGTTGCTTCAACATATCGTTCACCTCATTATCCAGATCTGTAACTTCTGCAAAAGTTCGTTCAGCTTCTGCTTTGGTGCTGGTAGCATTCTAGGCACAAAATAAGCAAACTGCTATGAAAAAAAAAAAAGCTCTACTTGTTCTAAAGTCTGTACCTACTCCTTTTATAATTTGTAAAATGGCTCAAGAATACAATCTGGAAAGAATAGTTCAGTGATTTATACTATTTCATGACTTACACTATCATTTATTTGGGCTCTAAATAACAGTAATAAAAAAATAATATTACGACCTAAAATAAAAGCATTTTATAAATTATAAAGCACTTTCGTTTGTATTCTCTTTTTTAATTCTTGAAACTTCCTATTCTGTTATTGCCATTTTTAGTTGAGGACACACAGCTAGCAAATGACAAACATTTCCATAGCATACACTGTCTCTACCACATCATATTGATTAGACTCTTTCACTTGGATAAATTTTAAGTTCAAAGCTAGCTGGGTTCTTTTTGGTAGTTCATCATAATGTGCAAAATGATCATGATCCCGAAACATGAATATTTTATTAAAAATAATCCAAAGGCCTTTTAAACTCTTTTAAAGAAACTAAGAAATTTCTGTGATTCTCAAACACCTAATTTTAGAATCACCTCCAATCTCTCCTTTAAATAAAACAAATATATTGAACTTTAAACAGGAAAAAGCCAGCCTACAGAAATTACTCTTTCAGATGAGTATAAAGAATCCCAGAAGTGGCAGCTACAGAAATTCCATATAGGAGGGGCTTAGGTATGGCAATAATGCTCGAAAGAGGGGCTTGAAAGTTGTGTTGATACAGCATGCTACATAAGATTTAAAAAAATGTCAACTCTCCAAGTCAAAAAAGTATGTTTATTTAGGAAGTCTAATTTTTTTATGAGAAGGGGCTCTATAGTCCTCTGAAGCCATTCCCCTCCTGACAACTCAGACCCCACACTGTGACACAGTAGAATTTTTAGAATAAAGGGCCCTTTTACTGATTGCCCCTCCTTAATCAATGGGGTTACCTACTCTTAAAAAAAAAAATCAATGACAAGGACAGTTTACGATGGTTTCACTGAAGTCAAGGAAAAAACCTGCAAAGACTTCGGGAGTCTGGAAAGAAACTGGTAAGAGACTAGAGAAACGCACGACCCAAGACTTTGTTTTGGAGAAGAGGAAAGCACACACCTTTTGGACAGCGCTTGCGATCCTCTCTGCCTCGTGGGCCTTGTTCTTGGCCTCCGTGGCATCTGCTGCGGCATTGCCCAGCGCCAGCTGTGCTTCCCTCGTCTTTTCATTGGCTTCAGCTATGGTCTGGTTAATGGCAGGAATCTTCCTTAAGGCCTCCTCTGCAGCTGTCTTGTTGTCATTCACGCGTCTATCGAAATCTAAAACGAGTTCAAGGAATGCACTTGAACTAAACTCACAACAAGAAAAAAGGGAACCTTTTAGGGAGTTGCAACCACATTTTGTTTCATGAACAAGAAAAGTCAGGGAAAAAAACTGAAAAACAGCATGGGCTAAAATCTTAGAAAAGCAAAGCACACATCTCCATACGAAAGATTTCCCAGGAATCGTCATATGAACATACATCTATTTCTGGAAAGAGAATTTTTGCTTGAAAAATTTGTTTTAATACAAAGTATTGGGTATGCCATTACAGGTTGAGCACATCTTATCTGAAATGCTAACAACCAGAATTGTCTCAGGTTTCAAATTTTGGAATATTTGCATACATGTAATTGGTTGAGCATCCCAAATCTGAAATGCTCCAATAAATACTTCCTTTGAGCATCGTGTTGGCACCCAAAAAGTTTCGGAATTTGGAGCATTTCAGATTTCAGATAAGGGATGCTCAATCTGTATCACCTCAACCAGAACCAAGAGCCACAATTTATAATGTTTGCTGCATATCAGTTACTAGTTAAGAGCCTTATGTTCCTGTGACACAGGCATTGTATCATTTTTATAAGTGAAAAAATTGAGCATTAAAGTAGTTAGATAATTTGTGGAGCAGGGATTTGAACCCAGGTCCACTGACATCAGAACCCATACTTTCAATTATTATGCTATAAAGCTTCCATATTTATAGAATCTATGACTATTTTATCAGAGGTGAATCCAGAGCTACTCAGGGAATTGGGCACATTTCTTTTCTATCTTGGGTGAAGAAAGAAAAAACAAGAATTAGATGCCACTGGCAGAAAAAAATGAAAGATAATCTAAATCTACCAACATAAATCAGCTAAATAGGAATCTTGAGTTATGTGAGTTATACCAACACAATTTTTGGGGGGTGGTTTCATACTGAAGTATACAGAGATAAAATGACATAAGCTCTGGGATTTCTCTTTGAAATACTTCAACATAAAAAAAGTATGTGTTGGGGCTAATGTAATAAGTGAGGTAAAAATGATGATTTTTTAAAAAAATGAGTCAGCCTAGTGGAGGAAGCATACAAATTTACCCGTTATTTGACCCTTTCATACCTTTCAGGTTGTTGAGAATGTCATTGGCTTCTTGTAAGGTATTCCGTCCCTTTTTAGCGGCTTCTTCAGCAAGAGCCTTGGCAGCATCAGCTCGGGCTAGGAGTTGGTCTGCCGTCTGCAAACACATGGCAAATCAGAGGATGAGCCCTTCTAAGCAAATCCCTTCTCCCTGCTAACAGACAAGGCACCTCAAAGCTACCACCCCGAGGCTTTCCAGCACACAGCAGGTTAGGCCCGGAATCGCACGGAGAGCCCTCGGCTCAGCGCTTTGTGGTTTGCTGCCTCTGCAACCGTGGTAACATTATAGACACAGTTTATGCTTGGATTGTTTCAACTGTTGTCTCAAGAAATGAAGCAACCTGCAAATCAAACCAACCTGCTGTTCAGTCTTTCCTTTTTCCAGAAGGTTCTTTACTTCAAATTCCTTCCCTCTCATATCTTCTCTGAGGTCCTCATAATCTTTTAACTTCTGGTCAATCAGACGGTCCAGATCCTCAGCTTCTTTCTTTATTTTATTTGCTTCATTCTGTGAAAAACAAGTTAGATCAGTACATCTTAGATAAAATAATCGAATTGACAAGCAGGTAGGCTTAGGAATTCTATAACACTTAATGCTCCATAAATATTTTTAAAAGAATAGTATAGGTTGAGATTTTATGGATTTTTTAAAAAATTGAAGTATATTTTGTACACAGTGAAATTCAGTGGGTACATGTAGTTACGTGAGTTTTGACAATTACACTTACTTGTGTAACCAATACCCCAGCAGTCAAGATACCATCACCCCAAGAAGTTCTCTGGTATCCCACTCCAATCTCCACCATACCTTTCTAACACTGCGGCTGCCACTGTTCTGATTTTTATCATCAAAGATTAGTCTTGCCTATTTTCAAATTTTACATAGGAGCGTACTTCAAAAAGTTTGTGGAAAGATTTTATTTTTTAATTATACGATTCCACAAACTTTTTGAAGTACCCACAAATATGGAATCAGACAGTTATGTACATGTTTGAAGAGACCTAAACCTTTATGATAAAATCAAGTTAACACATAAGATAAAAGAAGTGAAACTTAGTAAATCTCTCATTTAACGTAAAAAAAAATTCACTATTTATATAAATCTTAATATGAGGATCCATGATTATAGTACAGATAATGAAATAAAATCCTACTAATTCCAAAACATTTTACCTGTCCCAGAGTGTCTTGAGATATAATTCTTCCATTTAAAACACTGTCTTTTATTTTCTCTAGATCTCTAACAGTCGTGCCTGGGATCTAAGTGTACTCTGCTTTAAGTAATTCAAATATATTATAATTTGGATTTATATTAAAGATTTATGAGTGATTATTCACATTGCTAAAGTAGTCTCTGCTGTATAATCACAGGATTCTTTACTTCAGTAAGTTCCACTAGTGGATGTAAAATAGAACTCAGCTTTACCAGTGAATCAGCTGGAGGACACAGGAGGGAGGTGCTGGGCAGTCAGAATGGCTCGTGTGCAGTCTGGGGTGGGAGGAGGTGTGCCTGGGGGTGGGGGCTGTGCACAGGGGCTGTCTCCCCCCATACCTCCAGTGCCTCTGAGTCCACAGGGGTCAGCTGAGCCACACTGGCATAGATCTCCACAGCTTTGTCACCAGCCTGCTTGGCCTCCTCATGCACTCGGGCAGCTTGCTTCTCTAGGTCCTGCGAGATGTTCTTCGCTTGTTCATACCTAAGGAGCAAATGACGTAATTTAATGAAAAAACTTAGCTCCTTGTTGCGTCTTAATGTTAACCAGATTCAACCTACTTTACATCACTGTGACAACATTCCCAACACCTCAAAGGAAACACTATGTTAAAATGTTCTCATTTTAATACCAACATTTAGCTTAAATTTACATTCTCATCTATTTACACTCTCTTCTATTTATAGTATATGGTTTACCATATACTTTATTTCAGACACCCTTTAAAGAGTTGTAGCTCAAGGATATTTTCTCTACTTCTTCTATCATATTTTTTCTCTTCATTTTTCATTTATGCAGAATTTTAAGTGTCTTGGCTAGTCTTGTTACCATTCTCTGCAGTTACAGTAATTGGACCAAACAAAATCTCTGTGGCTCCACACCCCCTGCCCTAATTACTGTGCTATTCAAAAGCATGATTAGCAAACGAAATTTTACTGCATGAATGCATGCCTTGAATCCACCAGCATTTAATTCTTCATTGAACTGGTGTTACTTACAAGAACATTTCAAGGGCTGTAAGCCACTTTTAAATTATACTCACTTCCTATTAAGCTCTTCAATCTCAACTGCTGTTTGATTTTCTCCTGCCAATGTCCTCAAAAGCAGATTATAAGCCTCAGTTGACGTATCATTGGCTGTCTTTGCCACTCGTACAATGTCATCAGCTTCTTGTTTATGGCTGTGCACATAAAAGAAAAAATAATCCATGAAACAGAACCATCTGATAGTAAAACAAGAAAAATTTAGGTAATACTTACTTTATTATATATACATATACTCATGTGGGCAGAGTTCTGCAAATATTGAAAAACATCGCTAATATGGAATTTTGCAATTGTTTCAGTGGGGCTAAGTTTTTTTGAAGAGCATTCTGTAAACTGAGAAAAGGATATGCTCCAAAAAAATTAATGGTATAAAGTTTGTAGAGGCAAATGTTTCTATTTATTCAGAAAAACTACTTTTAAATATAATTATTTAAGAGTAATTTACATATAAAACCATGTATGCTAACAAAAAAATCATTAATCTAGTTATAAACACAAATCCCAGGCCTAATCTTTAACAACAACTGCTAATCTAGTTCAGTTACTAAATAGCCTTACGACAGCTTTGACCACTCACTTCTCACATGCAGCCTAATCACTGGCAGGAAAAGCAACTCAACAGCATGGCAATGAACATGTCAACAGGGACTCCAGCAAAATAATCTATTGTAGCTGGGAAACTGCTAAGGTTAATTTCACTTCTAAAATTTCATATTACACTGTCACACTGCAGTATGTGGTCATTCTTTTTGGTATAATAAACTTTCATTCAAAATCCTTGTAGGAAGCCCACCAGAATTAATTTATCTCTAAGACCTAGTTTTCTTGGGAGCTTTCTATAATGTTTTCAGCTATCTTTTTTAAATTAAAAGGTCCAGCTATGAGACCATGTATGTTCTGTGAACTAGATTACATAGCTCGCACATTCACATTTCTACAGAATAGAAAGAGAGCACATGTTAAAGCAAGAAGCCAATGTAATTGATCTGGACATGGAGGTTAAATTCTGACCTCAGGCTTACTGAAGTACCCTATACCCACAAGGTTTACTAACTGTTCTGTAATGCACTCAACAGACATTTAACTGAATACCTACAAAGTGCCAGGCACTGCAGCTTTAGCAGTGAATAAAATATACAAAAATGTATGCCCTCATGGAGTCTTCATTCTAGCAATTTTATTTTAAAAAAACCTTTTTAACTTAATGCTCTCTGCAATTTAAAGCATTCTAAAGAAATCACCCTGTACTTAATTTTAAAAAGTCTTTGAAAAAAAATCAGGAATGAAATGGTCTGTTTTCTTTGGCTGATTTTCAAATGTACTAATGGTTAGTAAATGTTTTCTATTGTGATTTGAAAATTAAATGTTTTTGTTAAATAAATTAATTAAAAACTTTTTTTAAAGTTAATTAAATTCTACTGAGCTTCTTAGAAATCTATTAACTTTAAGGTTTTGAAGTTAAAAATCTAAAAATGTTATGGTTTTCTTTCAGATGTGCAGATATAATTTCTCTCCAAACCATCATATTCTAATATTCAAAGTGAACATTCTAATTTCAAAGTAAAAGGAAGGAAAGGGTACACATAAGGCTCTCTTTTCAGAAAAGAGAGCAAACCTTGCAAAAGGTGGGTGCGGATGGGATGGGACAACATGAACATACCATGAGGGAAGCTACAACTCAACCATTAAACTGGGATCTGGAGGTTACCGTTCAGCGAGCTTTCGAGCCTCTTCTGCCAAGAGAGTCATGTTGTTTGGGTCCCCCGTAGACTCTGGCTGAGTGACTGACTGTAGAGAAAATAAAGCACTTATTCTTAAAAGGACTGAATTATTTAAATTTAATGAAGCAAGTGTCAAAACTAAATTTTTATTAATGTTAGAAGGCAAAAAGAATGCCTTTCTTATTTTCAGAGATCTTTGCTTAATATCAGCATGCTTGATTTCAGATTATTTCTATTTCCAGTAAAAAATAAAGTAAGATTAAATTGCTTGGTGCAACAGAAGGAACAAAGCTACAGAAAGAACCCAGATGTCCCTTGGCTTTTATTCACTTTGTCATAACTGTTTCATTACAACTGGACTAACATGGCTTTCTTGCTCCATATTTAGGGACAAATAAAAAGATGCAAGGAGTCAATTTAGTTGAAGAAGCATTGCCAGTCACACTCTTGCTACAAATTACCAAGGGACTCCCCCAACTCCACCTCAGACCTTCACAACCACTCACCACATTGGCAGCGGCAACTCTCGCTTTCTCAAGTTCTCTGGATGCAATTTCAATCAACCGCTCTGTGCTCTCCACTCGGGCACGTGCTTGTTCAGCCAAGTTTCCAGTCTCTTCAATGGTATTTCGTATATTCTGTAAACGGCTAATTTGGCTGGACAGAGTGTTATTCACTCTCTGGAGGCGATCCATCAAATTTTGGTCTACATCTGAAATTGCATTGCAGAAGAAAGTCTATAAATTATTTGACGGGGGACTTGCATGAAATCTGAGGCACTACATATCTTTACTCTTCCAAACGTAGCATCTTCCTGTAAGCCATCGGCAGAGCTGCTCAGCCTTCAGCATGCCTAGTCGTACCTTCACTGTTCCATGCTTCACACTGTTCCCCAACTGTGTGCCTGTCTGTCCCACTTGACTATGAACTCCTCTTTCTTATACATCACTATATCCCCAGTCTTATACACTGGTTGCTAAAAAGAAGACACCCATGGAACATTTGATGAAGGAAAGAGAGATTGATTTTGGTATTCCAGCACATGCCAGATTTAATCATAAATATACAATGTTGTCAAAAATGCTACCAGCAGGCATAACACTACCTGACTTTAAACTATACTACAAAGCTATAATAACCAAAGCAGCATGGTACTAGCATAAAAACAGATACATGGATCAATGGAACAGAATAGAGAATCCAGAAATCAACCCATACACCTACAGCCATCTGATCTTTGACAAAGGCACCAAGTCTACACACTGGGGAAGAAACTGTCTCTTCAGCAAATGGTGCTGGGAAAACTGGATATCCAAATGCAGGAGAATGAAACTAGACCTATACCTATCACCATATACCAAAACCAACTCAAAATGGATTAAAGAATTAAATATACCCCCTGAAACAATAAAACTCCTTAAAGAAAACATACGGGAAACACTCCAGGAAGTAGGATTGGGTACAGACTTCATGAATATGACCACAAAGCACAGGCAACCAAGGAAAAATAAACAAATGGGATTATATCAAACTAAAAAGCTTCTGCACAGCAAAAGAACAATTAACAGAGTTAAAAGACAACCAACAGAGTGGGAGAAAATATTAACAAAATTTACATCTCACAAAGGATTAATATCCAGAATATACAAGGAATTCAAACAACTTTACAGCAAAAAACCAAGTAACCCAATTAAAAAATGGGCAAAAGGACTGAATAGGCATTTCTCAAAGAAAGATATATTAATGGCCAACAGACACATGAAAAAATGCGTAATATCACTCAGCATTCAGGAAATGTAAGTCGAAACCACACTGAGATACCATCTCACTCCAGTTGGGATGGCTAATATCCAAAAGACTGAGAATGATAAATGCTGGTGAGGTTGCAGAGAAAATGGAACCCTCCTACACTGCTTGTGGGACTGAAAAATGCTGCATCCTTTATGGGAAATCGTTTGGAGGTTCCTCAAAGAATTATAGATAGATCTACCATATGACCCAGCTATTCCACTGCTGGGAATATACCCAGAGGAATGGAAATTATCATGTCAAAGGGATAACCGTACTCCAGTATTTATTGTAGCACTATTCACAATAGCCAAGAGTTGGAACCAGCCCAAATGTCCATCATTAGTAGATACAGAAAATGTTGTACATCTACAAAACGGAATTCTACTCTGCTATAAAAAAGAACAAACTACTACCATTTGTAGCAACACGGATAGACTTAGAAAAACTTATATTAAGTGAAATAAGTCGGGCACAGAAAGAGAAATACCACATGTTCTCACTTATTTGTGGGAGCTAAAAATAAATAAATACACAAACAAACGGGGGAAGGGCAGGGAAGAAGACACAACAATCACAATTCCTTGAACTTGTTAAGACAAGAGAACAGATATGATGTTGGTGGGTGGGAAGGGGGGAGGAGGGGGGAGGGAGGAATCGGTAAAGGGACACAAAAATCAACTACACTGTATATGATAAAATAAATAAATAAATAACCAGTTTAACCATTCCACTCACTTGCCACTCCCTGTGACAGCGTTCAAAATATATGAACCTCTAAAATTAAAAAAAAAAAATGCTGCCAGCCCGGAGAGCTGAGCATTTTCCAAAACTTGGAAAAAAAAAAAAAAAAAAAAAAAAAAAAAAACAGGTTCAAACAGATGTTGAAGTATGGTAAATTAAACTCATTTTGTATTTTAAACTCTTGCTGCCATCTCCCCTGTATGCCAGCATATGTCCATGCAATTTCTTTCCAATTGATCTCTGCTTCTGAATAGTTCTTCAAATTGTTCTTTATTAATTACGCCCATTAAACTTAAACTTCATACTTGGGTCCTACTAAGCCAAAAGATAAATATTAGCCCATGTAAATATAACACTGTCATCATTATTATTATTATTTTATTTTGAGCAAACCCTGATTTAATTTTTTTTTTAATTTTAACATTTACTTAGCCATATTTGTGGGGTGCAATGTGTTGTTTCAATACATGCCCATACTGCACAATGATTGAAGCCTAACATTATTAATATTCTCACATCATGAGGTTATATTAATATATAAAAACCATTAAATAAGTTCTACACAAAACTGATCTGTTCTTATTTCAGTATGAAATAAGCATGCTGGGGTCTAAATTTTCTAAGGAATGTAAAAAAGATGAGAGGGCAAAGTTAAGACCAATAAAGATAAATACAGGTTTGGAAAACAGCAACTTGGGAAAAGGGCCACCAAATATATGTGGCAAAGGTGATGTACTACACAACTCTTGCCTAACTACACCACATGGTTCTGCCTGAAGGATTCCGTAAACAATTATTTGGTATCTAAAGATTTTAAAGAAAATTCAAAAAACAAAAACAAGTTTAGATCATAGAAAATGATTTAAATTTAGGAGGGTTAAAAGCAGCCGGTGAGGTTATAAAAGCCCTCTCCCTTTAGACCTTCAAGAATGCAATAGATACTGATCTCTCTGTCCAGTTCTTTAGAGAAACAATAGTATCTGTAAAGAGAATAGATAACCTAAGTGGCAGGGTTGCTTCAAATGCTTTCCAATTCTGTGTGTCTACTTGTAAGATCTAACTGCACCATATAATCTCTTTTCAAATCTGCAGAATAAATACAAATTTAAACTTCAAATGAATACTTAGGGGTGGCCTTAAAAGGTAAATCATGAAAACGTTTTCATTCTTGGCTAGTTTGAACCTAAGCAGGAAAGGTCAGCCAGGAACTCCACAACTCAGGTCTTAGGGGAAGCGAATTTTAACCCCAGCCCCACTATGACGTTCCCAGAGCTATCAGAAGTGTCGGCCTATTATGCTCCTGGCCTTTCAGGTGGTTCAAGGGGAGTTACAATGGCCATGGCTCCTATCAGAGCTCCCATCAAATAGAATCACCTGCTTAGGTGACATAGGAAAGTGGGGAGCAATTGCGGATGATGGGAGTCATACGTATCTGGGGCTGCACCAAGATGCTTGGAGCTTAGACACGTGCCAATGCTGGCTGACCTTCCTTTCTTGTCCCTTAACCTATTCCCATGTCCTGGCTGTGTGCCAAACCCCAGCTCGTGGTTGGACTGATTGACAATAATCCTGCATTCAATTTTTCTCTATATATGGCAAGACAAACATGAATTTGTTGTTTCAAAAGAATACATTAATGGAAAAAATGTGTGTCAAAAGTTGTTGCTGGAAAATGAACATCCAAAACATCCACTATTGTTTACATAGAACAGGAAAGGTTTAAATTCCTCTTTATCTATGTTTAAGACTTAAAATGTAACAACCACCACCAAAAAAACCAGCAAACTCAGAAAAATGCCTAAAGTTAAAATAAGCTATTGACCTAATTTTTCTAATTTCTAAAAATTCATCCCATGGAACAGTGCCTGGACTCTCACATAAAAATCAAAAATACTGGCCCAAACCAGATACATACAATTACTTCCTTGTTGACTTCAATAATTTTATAAAATCAAAATTCCATATATTAGATATTTACGAGAAGAAATAAATGATCTATTTAACTTTTGTTGACTATACTCTGACAGGAAGTCTTCTCTATGTAACTCCAATGGATATAGATTCGTAAACGTAATAGTAAAGTTGATCATTGCTGGGCCGGCCCTGTGGCTCACTCAGGAGAGTGCGGCGCTGGTAGTGCCGAGGCCATGGGTTCGGATCCTATATAGGGATGGCCGGTGTGCTCACTGGCTGAGTGTGGTGCAGACCACACTGTGTGCTGAGGTTGTGATCCCCTTACCAGCCAAAAAAAAAAGTTGATCATTGCTGTTTCAAGTATACTAATTTTAATGTACATTTACTCTGTGTATCTGTGAACACTTTGGAGCTTAGACAGGTGCATTTCAATGATGGAAAGCCCCCAAACAAACACCACCTCAGCCCAGTGGTGAGCACTTTGAGGGCATGAGCAGTGTCTCATTCATCTCTTCATGACTAGTGTTTAGCACAATGCCTGGCATGCTACAGACACTCAGTAAAAGTAGAAAAGGACTTCTCCACATTTAGAAGAAAAGCTTAATTCACAGAGTAAGAAATAAAAATAAAATATTAAAGTGACTTAAAAAGCAAGTACATTATTTAAAATAACTTTTTTAAATTTCAAAATTTTTAAAACTGTCTTTTAAACTCAGTAAAGTATTTTAAAATAAATTATTCTCTAAATCTTAAGTAAATCTTTTCTGTGCTTATTATCAGTATCATCAGGTAATGTGCACAGAACTGATCTAATTACAAAGGACCTTAAAAATAAACATAACATATAAGACATTTACATAATGTTATTAGCACATTTGTCTGCTAATTAGACAGAAAATTTCATAAATAGGCACTAATGTCTAATGTTTATTTTCACAAATACCAAGTGTTACATATTTTGCAGCTAGATCTTCAGTCAATACTTGAAGACCACAATTTTTTTTGAGAGTTCTTTCAAAGGAAATAAAGCAGTGCATAAAATAAACTCTTACCAGAATGACAGAAAATCAAAGTTCAAATTTTCTACTTAAAAATAATGCTCATCAAAAATGCATGTGTTCAATGACTCTTTAAGCTACTTTAAGACACCTTGTAGTGGAATAGATTTATAAAATGCTTGAAATTTGAACATCTGATAGTTTTGATATGTTGGAAAATTACCTTATGCTTAGTATATTTTGAAGCATTAAGTTGATAAGGTATGTTTTTGACATACTGTTTAAAAAATAAAATGATTCATATCCTACAAGTAGTTTAAAAATTGAAAAAGAATTTTTAAAACCATCCTAATTACCCTTGAATTAGGAGCCACTTCTAAAGATGGGTCCATCTCACAGAAGTTACCCATGCTTTAATCATGTGTACCTTTGATGTCCTGGGCCTCACGAAGGAGGTCCATAACCTCTCTCTCTGCTTGCTTTAGTCTTTCCTCAAAGGCGTGATCTGTCACCATCTCATCCCCAGTTCCAAGGTTTGCAATGAGACTCTCTAACTCCTGGAGTTTCACTCGATGTTCAGCCACCTATACATAAAGAAGGAAGAAAAGAGAAAGGTGGGACACAATTATTCTGAAGAATGCCACTGCACTTCCTGCAGGAATCACAGGGGTGCTCAGATATGTGCAGGTCTATACACTACATGGATGTCCACTTTTAAACAGGTGGCACGGGTAGTTTTCTTTATTTCTGCGGCTTCAAAAGAAAACTTGCAGGACCATTCCTGGGACTTTAAACACTACATGCCGATGACTCTTCAGTTCTGACCACTTCCTTGAGTGTTAGGTTACTTCTAAATATCTCCACTTAGCTGTCTGATAGGAACCTCAAATTTTTTTTTTTTCCTTTTTGTCTTTTTTCGTGACCGGCAACGGATCGCAACCCTCAGTGTCGCGCCCATACCGGACCGGGACCGGCCACGGGATCGCAACCCTTGGTGTTGCTCCCGCCCCTCGCTCAGCCAGTGAGCGGCCTATACGTGGGATCCGAACCCTCGGCGGGAGCGCCACTGCACTTCCCAAGCGGCGCACTACAGCAGTGCGCCACCGGGCCGGCCCAGGAACCTCAAATTTAACATCCAAAATTATGCCTCTTAAATCTGTTCTGAGTTTTCTCCATCTCAGTAAATAGGGCCTCCAACTACCTTAAGGAAAAAACTCAAGGCCCATCTTTGATTCTTCTCTTTCCTTGTCCTGCTGCCAAACATGTATATTTATCCGATCCAGTCGAGGCTTTCCCTCTTTCCCCATTCCTAACCATCATTCTTCACATAGCAGTCAGAGTGCTCCCCTTAAAATATAAACTGTATATCGCAGCTTATAATAGTTTCTCCAACACATTCCCGTGGAATTTGGGATAAAATTTTACTACGGTCAACATAGTCCTATATAACCTGTCCCTACCAACCTCTCCAGTCTCATCACAAACCCCCTTCTCCTCACTCAGCAGACTCAGTCACTCTCCAGCTTCAAGGCCTCTGCACACTTTCTGCCTGCAGCAACCTACCCACTCCTTCCTATCCGTAAGATCTCACCTTAAATGAATTTCTTTAGAGAAGCCTTACATAAAGCGGTTTCCCCCCAATTATTCTCCATTTGTATTCTTTCTGGCACTTCTCTCAGTATTTCTTTTATTTATATACTTAACTTTTATTATTTGCCTCCCAACTGGAACCTAAGTCTTTAGAAGAGGAACAAGTCTATCTTGTTCACATTTTTTCTCTAGAGCTTACTGTATAGTAATGTCCATGCAGTGCTTGCTGAATGAACGAATGAATGAATGAATGCACTGCTGACAGCTTACCTTATCCTTCACTAGCCGGTAACAAGCTGGGCATTCCTGGCAGCCAGGCCAAGACCGATTGTAGAAATAGTTCTCTTCACATTGGTCACAGCGATTTCCCACAAAGCCTTCTTTGCACTCACAGCGACCGTTGTCCTTGCACTGGAGTGAAAGAGACCCCTCAGGATGACAGTCACAGGCTGCAGAATAAGGGGGAAATAGTGCATAAGAAGAAAAAAATGGAAGAGTGAACCTTTCTTTTTTTTTATTTATAACTCGGACTGACATTAATAAGCTGACTGTACTACCACTGTAAGTAGTCACTTTCTTTTTTAAGGCCTACTTATGAGACCTTCATGGTTAACTTTGCTTAGCAGAGAAGACAAACATTTTTAAAGCAAAAATAAGTGTTAAGAGAAAATGTGCATCCTTTGGAGCACTGTTCATCTTACTTAATAATTACAGAAATTAGTCTATTAAACTAATCAGTGCCCTTTTTATGCACTTCAAGAATTCATCTCTACCTTCATTTCTCTACTGTTTAATATTTCTGTAAGAAACTAGAAAACCCAAATGCTAATGCTTCTTTTGCATTATTTTATAGTTTGTTTACTCACTTTGTTCTCTGAACTGAGTCAATGACTTATGCTACATTCCACAGGAGAAACGAAGGAATTCAGAGAGCAAAACACCAAACTGTTCTGAGGCCTAATTCCAGGCAAGTGTTTATGCCAAGGAGAAGCAGATGTTTATATGTAACCGTACCAAAAGGGCCCCAAGGGTGGGAAGCAAATGCAGCCAGTAAGTCAACAAGCACATTGTGAACAGAATCCTTCACTGTTTCATTATCTGCACTGGGAATGTGATCAATAAAATAAGTTTCATTAGGTACAGTGGGAAAGTTCAGTAATCAGAGAGAGACTTTTCTTTGGAAAAGTAAAAAATTGGGAAAAGGAAGAATCAGAAACACTATAAAAGAAAACATAAATAAGGTGGTTGCAAAGGAACCAGCGAAGCCCTCGATCTCCAGAGATTTAGAAAAGGAGAATATTCACCAAATAAAGCATCTACGATGACTCAGATACAGCCCTGACTACAAGCCAGGTGGCTAGACTGAGGTGGTCAAAGTCCTTTCTGGACTTAAGGTGTTAACTGACATTAGGGGAGACACAGAGTGTATGCCACCAATGCCCCTTACGTTTGCAGCCTTCAGGTCCAAACCCAAAGTGGTTGACCTCACAGCGCTCACAATGCTGACCAGTGATGCCAGGCTGGCATTCACACTGGCCAGTGCGGATGTCACACTGCCCGTTGGTGGAACCCAGAGCATGGCAGTCACACCTGAAAACAAACAAGACATTTTTCAGGTAAGAAAAATACATATTATGCAAAAACTTTGGTTCTTCTCTTCAGCATAGTCTGGATGTCATTTGAAACAGGAAACTATGTTTAAACGTATGTTTAGGATTATGAAGACCAAATGTTAAGGGGGGCTCAAGTAATTTTTATGAGTTCCATTTAGAACTTCTTTTTCTTACCTAATTGCTACCAGTGACTCTCCAACCTGGCAACAGATCAGCACTAACCAGGAGTTCTGGAAACAGGAATTCCCAGGTTGCAACCCTGCAAGTTCTGCTTTTAAGCATCTTGGAAAAAACCTTATAATTTGTATTTTTAAAGTGTTGTTCAGATGATTCTGACACAGCTGGGGCCACTGGGCTCCACTCCTTTCTCTCATTAGCTTAATTACAGTTCTCCAGCATTGCCCCAACAGGGTGCCTTGCCTATATTAGGCACTCAATTCCTGAACAAAGTAAAGCCAACTATTAAATATAACTTATAAAAATTCATTACTTCTGATACAAAAAGCAAAAATTACTTTCACCAAAGGCATGGATGTCTCACCTCTCACAGCCTTGCCCGCTGTGCAGGTTGTAGGATCCAGGGTCACAAGCTCCGCAGTCCCGGCCAGTCACGTGCGGCAGACACTCGCACTGCCCAGTCACGGGGTTACAGCTGCTCTGCTGTTTCACTGTCCCATAGGGATTGCAACTGCAGGCTAAGGCAGGGAGACGGAGACAGCAAAAGGTACAGTCACCTGAGGGAAATACTAACATATAAACAATTCAAATAGATTCCTTAGACTCATGTTGTCTGATCCTGTAGCCACTGGTCACATGTGGCTATTGAGCACTTGAAGTGTGGCTAGCTAGTCTGAATTGAGATGTGCTATAAATGTGAAATACATACTGGATTTTGAAGACTTAGTGTGAATAAAAGAACATATATTTCATTAATAATTTTGTATTGATCTATTAAAATGATAATATGCTGGCTATATTAGATTAAATAAAATACAAAAGGCCTTCAAAAAGTTCATGGAAAGATTTGTATTATCTTTTAATTCTATTTTTTCCACGAACTTTTTGAATTACCCTTGTATAGTAAATATAATTTTGCTTGTTTCAACTAGGAAATTTTAAATTATGTAAGTGGTTTGCACTATATTCCTATTGGACAGTGCTGCATCAGACCAAACAACCATAAGTATTTAGAGACACACAATGAATTCTCAGAACAAAGGAATATAATTATGACAGAATCTGACCAATGGCTGATTACCTCTGCATTTGTCTGCTGGATTGGGAGCCAGGGGATTTCCAAAAAATCCATCTTTGCACCGGTCGCAATAGAAGCCTGCAGTGTTATAGATGCACTTCAGGCATTCTCCTGTCAAACGATTGCAATTTCCAACTGCATTGGGATCGACATTGTCATTGCACTGGCACAGGCGGCAAAGCCTCACAGGGCCGTTTCTACCCAGAGGGTCTCCAAAGTAGCCATCGTCACAGAGCTCACACCTCTTACCTGGGGATGAGACAATCTAATGTTATGAAAGGTCTGTCTGAGACATTTCTGGTGCTAGTTTGCCCCCGGTTACAAATAGCTAGGCATGGTGCAGCAGAGGACTTGGCTGCAGTCCTGGCAGTGGGCCAGAACAGCAGAGTGACCTTGAACCCATCTGCATTTCCTCATTAGAAAGGAAGCACCTGGCTTGCCTACTTCACTTCAATTGTTCTGAGGATCAACCAAAATCAAGTATTAAAAGTGCTTTGTAAATGAGTCCGGCCCAAGATTTAGTAACCTCTCCAGGCCCAAGGGATGGCACATTCATTTATGTCTGTTTTGGCTGATGATATTAAAAAAGATGAAGTGCCACTTTTGATACCATAAGTTTCCCATACAACCGTGTAAACAGGATCATTCTCTTAATATATAAAAGGCATGTACTAATCCTTCCCGAGCAGTGCCAAGTAGTACAGAGTTAGAACTTGTTAGAAGAAAACTGAGAAATCATCAATTACCACCTGCTTCTATCACAGCTAAGGGAACACAGAGGTGAAGTAACTTGTCCACAACCAAATAACTGACGGGAAGAGGGGCAGAGCTAGAATCTGGGCTCTTTCCAACACACTAAGCTCACTGCTCTTCATCCTTCCTTTTCCGCTTTCCTGACATCATTAGCTTATGTTGGGCTTTGAAATCTTTGTAGCCAATAGGGCCTGATTTTGCGTAAAACTTGTGGAGAATCAGAAGTCTGATCGTTTATTCAGTAAACAAACGTTTACTGAGTATCTACTATATACCAATACTACTCTAGGTGGTCATGACGACGTGAACAAGGTGGACAAGGACTTTGCTCTCTATGCTGCAGTTTGGGCAGACCTGTACACAGACATACAAATAAACGAGATTACTTCAGATAGGGATAAGCATAAAAAAGTTAAAGAGAGCAAGAGGACAGGATGATAGAGTGAGGGTGGGGGGCTAGTTTGGATGGGGTGGTTAGAGAAAGCCTTTGTAAGGAGCAGACACTGGGATGACCATAGGAAGACAGAGAAGAAACCAGCCATGATAACATCCACAGGAAGAATGTTTCAGAAACATAAGATGAGCTGTAGCAGCAGTAAGAAATAATCCATGTAGGACCACGCAGGTCACAGTAAGAAATGTGGATTTAAATTTAAGTATAATGAGAAGCTGTTGGCGGGGTTTAGAAGTGATGTGAGTTGATTTACATTTTAAAAGGATTATTCTGGCTTCTATGTGGAGAATGGATCATAGGGCAGCAGGTAAAGCAGGCAATCAGGCAATTCCAGGTGAGAGACGACCGTGGTCTGAACCAGGGTGGTGGCAGTGCAGGTGGTAAAAAGTGGTTAGATCTGAGACAGAATCAATGAGATTTGTTGACTGATTGTTGCTGGGAAATGAAAGAAAGAAGAATGAAGTATAAGCCCTAGGACTGTAGCCTGAGCAGCTAGGTTGACAGTTGTATATTTACTGAGACGAACAATACTGGGGAAGAGCCGCACTGGGGTTGGAGAAAAGGGAAGAAATGAAAGATTTAGCTTGGATTTGCTCAATCTTGAGATTCCTTTAGCTATGTGAATAAAGCTCACAACAGAAAATAGTCGGCACCTTCAAATTAGCATGCCTGAGGAGAGTCTAATAAAGGGACTATTTATAGAAGTATGGGCGGAGTGCAGGGAAACCACAAGGAGAGTGTAGTATATGGAACAGGCTCCATCACCTGGGCCTCAAGGGGTGGGTAGAGGGAGCAGTCACCAGAACCTAATGTTAGAAAGAGCTGTTTGGAGAAGGCCTCATGCCAGGAGCTGAGACCTTTGATGTGGGGTCACCGATGCAGAGGACCCCGCAGATAGGAGGCCTTAGCAATAAACACTCTGCCCTCACCCTGCTCCTTCTGTCTCCTGGTATGTGCTGCCTGCTGTCAGAAGTCAGATGGAGGCTGGCGGGTGATGTAATGTAACAGGTCTCATCAGAGTGGAAAAGGTACAGAGTGGACACGGAGGGGCAAGTGGAACCCAAGTGGATGGCAAGTAGGTAGCTGGTGCTCAGGAGAGAGAGGTCAGGGCAGAAGACACAGATTTTGCAGTCATAGGCAGAGAGAGGTTTTGAAGCCTAAAGGTGAGATTTGATCACCCAAGGGAGACTGTAGATCAAGCTGACACGAAAGTCCTTGGCTGAGAAACAGAGGCAATTAAAGAACGCCCACTGGAAGAGAGGTAGAAGGAAAACAAGGACGGTGAAGTGCCACAGAAGGCAAGAGCAGAAGACGTGAGGAGTAAAGAGAACAGTCAACAGTCTCCAGTGTTGCTGAGAGATCGGGTAAGAGGACTGACAACTGACTGCTGGACTTGACAAACGAAGATGACTGATAAGATGAACAGAAAATGTGGTTTTGGGTGGGGTGGGAGGGGAAGAAATAGGACGTTAGAGAAGATGAGAAGCTAGGGACGCTCCTGGTCTCTGATGTAAACAGCTGCCAGATTTTCACCCAAGATCCATCTCCAGATTAGGATGAAAGCAGCATTTCATTTATGCTTTTTCATCAGATAATTTAGCTATTCTAGGTATGATCTATATTTTAAAAGTTTTGAAACCTGTTTTGAATAAAACGTAATAAAATTAAAATCTAGTTGGAAAAGCTAAAACAGAGCTATATGGTAGCCCATGGAAAACTCACTCTAAAATATCCTTCGGCAGCTATAGCTAGTCTACTCTTCTGCTTTAAACTCTAGGATCTAGGTCCTAAGCCTGGGTGCACGACTTATATGACTTTGGGCAAGAGATATACTCTTTTTTGTCTTAGTTTTCCTTATCTTCTCCCCACCCCACCTCCACTGGGAGAGGTATCCCCCTTTCTTCTCCTTTAGTACTCCTGTGCACATTCTTTTATCTGAACTAACCATACTGTATTAAAATTATGTCTTTCCCTCCATAATTTAGGCCTCTAAAGAGAAGGAACCATCCCTTATTCATCTTTATATTCCCAAAGACATGCATTCAAATTTGTTGTAAAAAAAGATTATTACCACTACTTTACCTCAAAAGACTTTAAAAATTTTAGATTAAATTTTAAATTAAGATTTTAGAGTAATCTTTTTAAAGATTAAATTACATGTAAAAGCATAACATGCATGAAGATCTCCGTGATTATCGGTCATTATTCAGCATTTGATAGTCTTCTAAATGAGCAATATCTTACCTCACATCTGCAATCTCTATTCATTTATCCAGCAAATATTTGCATTAATTCAATGCATATCTTTGCCTAACTCTGTTCAGAGTGTTGGGGTTGCAAAAGTGAATAACACAAAGTCCCTGCTCTTATGGTGCTTAAACCAGGGGTGAAGGAGTGGAGGAACAATACAGACAATAAACAAATGAATAAACATAAAAATGCCAAGTGGTTAAAAAAAGTGCTATGAAAAAAAACTAAAGCAGGCTATAGGGATAAAGAGTGATGGCATTACCTTTTTACAGGGCCTATGCTGTTTTTCACATAGCCCACTACACCCTAATTAATATCCTCAAGAATTGCTATACAGCATTCCCTTCAAGCCAGGTGATAACTAACAAAACAAATATATTTCACAAGTCTTGTGTGAGGGACATCTTGTCAGTGACTAATATGTTTATAACATTTTCTAAGATCTCCTGTGTTATACTTCACCTTTCCATTAACTATCACAAATAATCTCAATTCCCCATGTGTTTATTGATTTAGTATGGACATGAGGATGTCACAATGCTTAGTTGCTTAGCATTACAGTTGCAGTCTACCCAAAGAAACAACAACAGTTGTAAAGGGACCTCTCAGAGTAAGTTCTTCTGAGAGTAGATATTGCAGGTGGGAATACTATATGCTATGGCAACAGGGTAAGGGGCCCTAATAATCTGGGGTAGTAAGGTGGGGAGGGATTGTTGAAGAAAGCCTTCCTGGAAGTGATGTTTCAACTCAACCTCACAGAATAGACAGGAGTTGGCCAAGAAACCTGAGGTTTGGGGAGGAAAAAGTAGGGTAAATTAGTGTGGAGAAAGAACAGCTGACAGCAGACCAAAGAGTTTGGTACATTTGAGAGACTAAAAGAGAAGCTCAGAAGGGCTGGAGCAGAAGAGTGTGGTGCAAGGGTGAATGGTGGGGAATGAAGCCCGAGAAGTCTCTGTGTGTGAGAATCTGCTGGGCCACTGCTCAAAAAACAAACAAGAAAAAAAGCAGGAAAGAGTCAGAAATATGAAACTCTACACTAATTTCCATTCCTTATTCCTTATTTCAACCCAGACTGCCTGGCTTGAAATCCCAGGTCAACCAATGACTAGTCATGCAGCCTTGGGAATGTTAACTGTGCCTCAGTTTTCTTAGCTGTAACATGGGAGTAATAGAACTTACCTCATAGAGTTGTGAGGATTAATGAGGCACTACATGTGAAGTAATTAAAGTAGTACTTGGCCATAAGTACTCAATACATGCTGGCTATCATTAGTTATCTATCTGATATGCACTTTATGAATGCATAATTAACCTGTTTCCTACAAAACTTCTGCCTACTAGGAAAACCATAATCATTGAAACAAACAAAATAATTTTTAAAAATCCCAAGGCCCTTCTTAACCAGGTCGTTTTATTGGATGGAACACTGAAAGCAGATGGAAAGAGCAGACTTACCAGTGGTGCCAGTAGGACAATTGGTGCACACCACCTCCTTTGTCTTGGGGACAACAGCACAACTTGAGCCCCCAGGACATGGACAGGGTTGGCAATCAGAGGAGGTGCCCATGGTTGAATCTCCATAGTACCCATCACTACACTTCTCACAGTGGGGGCCAGCCGTATTGTCTCTGCAGTTACAAACACCTATGTGGAGAGGAGGTGCGAGAAAACCGGCAAGTGTGCAAGTAAATAAGACAGTGAGCACTTCCTACCCAACTGCTAAACAGAAGTTAGGTCCAGCAGTTACCAAAGATCATCTCACCTGTCTCAGGGTCACAGGTCTCGCTGTGTCCACTGCAGGTACAAAGCACACATGGACTATATGGTCCAAGACTCGGAGTTTCTCTCCTGTAACCTGAGAGGCACATCTCACAAAACTGCCCTCCATATCCCACAGGACAGGTGCAGGACTCCACCCAAGTTGCAGGGACCCCAGGCCCAGGACGAGCACTTGTCAGACTGACATCATCCAAATATCCAGCACCTGTGTATTGTATGGAAAAGAGAGTCACCGAACTGTCTTCCGTTTTCCAAAAATTTGTGAAAAGTCAATAATGCTCAAGAGTAACCAGACCCCAAATTCCAGAGAAAATCATTCATTAGCTTAATCGATCCACTGGAGAAGATAATTAGAAAATAGGATTTATAACAATCATGGTATTGGGTGCTAAGTATCTAGAGTGGTGGTATAATAAACTTAAATTTTTAAACACACACACACAGCCAGACTTGCTGGATTTTACAGTTCTCCCAATCACCAATGTGAAAAGTGAAAAGCAATGGACAATCATTGGGGGCAAGAAGAGATATGAGCAAGAGTGAAGGGGAAAGAAGAGTGTGAGTCTGTAGACATTGAGTACTGTTTCTGTTCTTTTTTTTTTTTTTTTTTTTGTCTTTTTCCGTGTCCGGCAACGGATCGCAACCCTCAGTGTTGCCCCTGTACCGGACCGGGGACCGGCAACGGGATTGCAACCCTCGGCGCTGCTCCCGCGCCTCGCTCAGCCAGTGAGCGGGAACCGGTCTGTATGTGGGATCCGAACCCTCGGGCGGGAGCGCCGCCGCGCTTCCCAAGCAGCGCACTATCCAGTGCGCCACCGGGCCGGCCCCTGTTTCTGTTCTTTTGCCACAAAAGCAGGCATTGACTGGAGTTCAAAGATAAGAAAGAAGGGAAAGCAGCTGTCAACAGGTAATACTCAGGTTATATATTTTTTTGCCTTCCATAAAACAGCAAAAACTAGTAAATAAGTCCTAAGACCCAGGGCTATTTTGACAAGTATGCAATTATCCTAAAGTTGTTATGCCATATGTCATAATGGTGTCCCATTTCTATAAGAAAATCAAAATAGAGGAAACCTTATACTGGCTTAGACCAACGTTCATCCAGTCCAGTGGTGCCCTTGACAGCATCAGCAGCAACATCCTATGGGAGAGGTGGGCCTTGATAACATCATCATATTTCCCTTTAATTTTCATTCCACTTGAGTCTTTTGCATTCTTATGCTTAAAGTGTATTTTTCCCATGTTATGAAATATCACTTGTTGTTTATATAACTCATTTGTTTTTGCTTTTGTTTTGGGGCATCTGGCTGGTATGGGGATCCGAACCCTTGACCTTGGGTTTCAAGACTGTACTCTAAGCAACTCAGCTAACTGGCCAGCCCCTATATAATTCATTTGGAAATCGACCACAGAAGGCAGAAGGACATGTCTTCTATTTCTGCCTTGAACTTACTTAACTTTTAATATGTTTCTGGTTTTTCACCAGTTAGATCATGAGATATGTCTCCAGCTGTTAATGTGCTTCCTATTGTAAACATTCATAAGTCTCCCATATGAAAAATACTTTCTTCAATCTTGTTCCTATTCTCAAATTACAGTCTATCTCTTTTTCCTTCCTTTACAGCCAAGCTCCTTAAAAGAATACTCTTACATATATATGTATGAAAACATCAGACTGGACCCCATAACTATGTACAATGCATTAATTAAAATTTTAAAAAAGAATATTCTTTATCTTCTTCACCTTCAAATTACTTCAAAGCACTGAGATCTAACTTCAGTTTTAACATATATATTTTTTAAAAAAACAAAACTCACCAATGATTCCTTAATCATCCAATCCAAAATCCAATGGTGCTGTCTTCCTAAACCTGTTAATTGTTCTCCTCCTCAAAATTCTTTTCCTCCCTTGGGTCTCAGGGCATGGACCTTAACTAACTGTTTCCAGAATTACATCCTCTTTCTCTATATATCCTGTCATATTCCCAAGTTTAAAAGTACTGCTCATATGTTGACAACCTTCTAAATCTAGACCTCTACTCCTACCCTCTTCCTACACCCCAGATCCACATCTCTAACTACATATAAGACACTTTTTCCTGGATATTCATGCAGGCATCTCAAAAATCAACACACTCAAGTTGTTGAAGCCACGCCCAATACCACCCCATCACTTTGATTCCACCCCCCACGAAGAGCTTTATCTTGCCACAGAAAAAGTTCCTCAGTTAAAAAAATATTTGAAAGAAAAAAATTTAAAAGACATATTTTTAAAGCCTTACCTAACTAGGCACACTGCCAGCGCCTGGGGGCCCAGGGCATCAAGCTGGGGACCAGACCCCCACCCCATCCCCCGCCCACAAACAGGCATACCGCTGGCACCTCGGGGCCCACCTGGGAACCTGGGGCATGGACCAGAGACCGAACCCACCCACAACCAGGCACACCACCAGCACCAAGGAGCATGCCAAAAACATCACCTCCATGTGGGTGGACCACCACAGCCACCACAGTAACCACAGCTGCCGTGAAAGCGGCTAGATGTCACAACCACCACACAAATGGTCCACCAGCCACTGGAGTGCACTGACACAAGGAGAGGCACCAGCAGAGACCAAAGAAAAGAAGAAGATGTCTCTCTCCACAAAGCCCACCCCAGAGTGACAGAAGCATCTGCTCTATGATAATACTGGGGGACCTGAACACAACCTTCAGCACTGGACAAATCATCTAGGCAACAAATCAACAGAGTAACCATTACTCTTTCAGAGGGAGAGAAGAAACCTAGGGTTATGAGTGGTTGGATGGGGGAAAAAGAGGGGAATAGGGAGAGATTGGACAGGAGCATAAAGAATAAGTACAATTTTTAACAATATACATACTAGTAATATTGATCTGATCAACATATGACAACACTGAATCCCAAAAATATGTATAATCAATTATGATTCAATAAAAAATAAATATTTTAAAAGAAAAAATTTAAAGGACATTATTATTATTATTTTTTTCCCTTTTTGTCTTTTTTCATGTCCGGCAACGGATCGCAACCCCCAGTGTCGCGCCTGTACCAGACCGGCAACGGGATCGCAACCCTCGGTGTTGCACCCGCACCGCGCTCCGCCAGTGAGCGGGAACCAGTCTCCACATGGGATCCGAACCCTCGACGGGAGCGCTGCTGCACTCCCAAGCGATGCACTCTCCAGTGCGCCACCGGGCCGGCCAAAAGACATTATTTTTAAAGGCTTACCTAAAATTACAAATTTTCGCTGAATGATTTATAATTTTTGATAATTTAGCCAATGATTCAAAGGGCTGGAAAATTACATAACAGCACATAAAAAGAAATGAAGGTTAAAGAACTTGAGCCACTA